GCGTCTTGATACCGTTCCATTTGGGAGCTCTTTCTCATCGTACGTCGTACGGCTTCCTTTCAGGCGACGTATCTTCCAGCACTGTATACTGTTTCCATTCGCCAGCATTATTTGCCAATAACTCATACTGTATACTTCTTGTGGTTGCGTAGGATAACTGGCCTTGATATCCAGGAACCGCTGCACGAAACGATGATATTCCCTGAGACGGTCACCGCTGACGGCCGCATTCTGTTTACCCTTCCATGGCCCGACGATCGCTGGGAATCCGATTGTTGCAGCCCGGCGTCTTACACTTTAGCGGATTGATATCCGCATCCTACGGAAACGTCCGATACGAATGAACTGACATGTAACTATACGAATATTATGTACAGTCCTACAGATACTATTATATGCCGTAATTTATTCTTGCACTTTCTACATTCTACTCTTTGGAACACTTTACTATTCCGTATGTGAGCATTAAGCAGCGTTCTCAGTGCCCGGATAATGATGAAAAATAATTCTGGATTCACATCGTCGACATACTGCCGTACTTACTTGCACGTATTACTCTGTGCATTTCCGACACGTGTAAGTAATTTCAGTATGACCATGCTGGAAATTTAAGAGGGAAGTCATTTGCTCTATAACTTGATATTGGGTTATCAAAAATACGAATACGCCAGGGCGCCGCTGTTGCTTCAAGTTTCATCCCAAATGGTGAATTCTGTTCCTGCTTTTCTTCAAGAGTTGTGCATCGGAGTTAAATCAGTTACATGACAGGTTTATTGAAAAACACATACCAGTCACTTAAGAAGTGATACAATAAATGTAGCACATTGCGGCATCCTTAGTTCTTCCAACACACAGTCAAAGATAAAATTCCTAACAAGTACGCACACTGCACAAAATGGAACTAGTAATCATTAGAGCTTAGAGCTGGAATTTAACAGGGAGTTAGAAATATCCATGCAACCGAAATAGAAAGATTATGCAACAGAATTATCTATCCAAAAACGAGAAGCAGCGAACAACTCCAGCTGCACTTGCCTTTCATTCAAAGGCGACATAATAAGAATTGAGTGCGGTAACAGCCAGCTTCGTCAGACAAGTCTGGCCCAAGTCGGCCAGGGTCAAAAAGAGGGAGGAATTTTAAGAGGGAGGAATTTCTGCGTGGTCAAAAAGAGGGAGGAATTTTTGAAGCGAGGGAGGGAGGAATTTTGATATGGTCAAAAAGAGGGAGGAATTTTTTCGAAGTTCAGATGAAGTACTTAAGGACCTCGAACCCAAGTCTCCGAAGTCCCTACGAAACCGGAGTACCTACGAAACAAGTCAAACAATGTGTTACATGAACGACACTAGCAATCAACACTCGCGATCTTCTCCACCCTTACAGCTGAAGAAATTGCCGAATTTTCTCCCAGTGATCGGGATACTCCAGCTTAGCCAGTATCGGTGAATAGACTGCACACGTTCGTACACTGTAGTGGCCAGCGGAGGGCAGCCATTTCTGCCGCGAACCAAAATACTTTGAGAATGTCGGCGGAATTTTTAGTTGAGTGCAGCATCAAATACGGGATCGTAAGGGAAACTGCTTGTTGGCTTTCGGATGTGTTTAGCCTACTTTGACGAAAACTCCCGAGAGGAAGAGAGAGCTACTTTCGAAACTCCCGAGAGCTACTTCCGAAGCGATGGTCTGCAAATTGTTTTCAAAAAGTCTTCTACCCCGTTTCCTGAGGATCAAATGTAAAGAGTATCGAGTCATTTGCTCCTTGGCCACTCAAGGTCACTAGAAAGTCGTTATTGTTTACAGTGAAAAAATCAGGAACGATCCCCCTTTCCGAAATAGTAACGTCATAAACAATAACACGCTTGGTTGAATATCTACAATTTAAATTTGAAAATATGGAAATTTGAATTTTTGTTTCCAGGACATCACTGAACTCCACCCATTTTTCAAAATAATCCAGGAAAAAAGGAAACCCTTTTACATTGCTGGTTTTACTTAACTTGTTTGTGTCATGGATATTACTTTTTTGAATAAAACTAAGATCATGCCAATCAAACACTGGATATGCCCATTGCACCTTAGTAAACCAGGATGACATTTTGTTCGGCCACCCGGTATCAAGAACCGGTTCGCAGCATTTTTTTCAATTTTAAATACATTACGAAAAATTTAAGTTTCTAGACAACCGCATGCTGCGCACAAAAACTGTTCACCCGCAAACTTCAAATCTATGATGTTGCAATTTCCCTTGCCGAGTGCGATAGAAGTGGCGTTGCGATAGAAGTGGTGTCACAAAATATAGCTATGGTATTGAGCATTGTCTGTATATGCAATGACCGAATTTACCCTGATTTTATTGGCCATTTTAATGCCCTACTCTAGCGCGGGCTCAAAGGTGTAACATGAGATTCCGGAAACTTTCGGTTGTTGCTACTTTCGCCCGAAAAAACATCCAAAATCATTAGAATTGTTCCAGATCTTGGGATGCAGCAAGTCACGTATACAATACAGCCGCTGCATTTCCTCTGACAACCGCCAGACTTAGACATTGTTTTAACAGTAAAATGCAACCAACATTATTAACAACGCAGTCAATAAGATTACCTAATCAGTCCTAAAATACACTGAGTGAGTCTACCAAGTTCGTCACACCTTCTGTACAGGCTTAAATCGCCGCAAAATAAGGTTATTGGCTATTTTCTGTCAAAAAAAGCCTGCTCTATACAGAATATTGCAGCAGACATATTCTGCAGCAGCTTGATGCAGATCCGAGCCTCCTTTGATTGCGCACCAAACAGAACAACGAAGATATCCCTGGCCTCCTTACAATAACCGAAAATGCGACAGCACATGTGTGTCGCGAACGCTTGGAAGTGGGTTTTCGCAGATTCCGACAGGTTGTCCATCCCGTTTTGAACTCGTGTCTGCAGAGCAGTGTGGGCCTTCATTCCCGCGTTCATTAGGAGAAGAGCGCGAACAGCTTCGTACTGCGGATAAACTTTCCTGCAGGCAAATTATTTTTAAAATCAGCAGAACTTTAACCAAAAATTGAAAAATATTCTGGAAGCGGAGGCTTACCGTATAATGACAACCAATTCCTCCATCAGCCGGCAGCCCTCTTCACATCGCCCTTCTTCAAAGTATTTTCCCCATAATTTCCAGCTGCACACAAAACGGACATGCGCATCGGACTGCATAATCCCGGCCGCCTCCAGGTTTTCGCACACCTCCATAATCCTGGCCTGGTTGAGCTCCATCGGAAAATTTGGGTCGTCTGGTGAGGCAAGCTGCTGCATGAAGCGACGAAATTGCACCAACCGGTCACTGTATTATTTTAATTTCTCAATATGTGCAAGGCGAGCTTCGCTCAACAAACATGATCAAATGAAGAATTTGTCCCAATTAACATGGGAAGGGACCGTGCACAATACACTCATTGCATTACCACGCATAATCTCCAAACTTAAACGCTGAAACAGAAAACAAGTAGAGCGACTCTCACCCGTCCTTAAAAACAACTTCTTACCGATCTCCTTTAACGTTACAATGCCGGTCTCACACCAAGTGCCAAAAGTCTCACATGCAAAGGCGACAAAATTACAGCGATCAGTAAGCGACTTGTATTTTCCAATCTTCTCCCGGCATGCCAGTTCGGCGGCAGCGCCAGCACACTTTGAGGTCGCGTCGATGTATGAATCCGCCATCGTGTCATCCGGTCACTGTTGATGGCGCCGCATTCAGAACACGCTTCCAATGCACGCTCGTCACTGGGAATGCGATTCGTGCATCCCATTGTCACGCATTTCAGCGGATTAATATCGGCATCCTAAGGAAGACACTGCATGGCAACTTATTTCGGTACTGACACGGCCAATTTTTGCGGGACTGACAGCAGCCTGATAATATTGTAGAACATATCCTTCTCTGTTTTAATAATGCTGTGAACGCCGTGAAAGGAATAAATGTTCGGGTCCGTTAACAAATAAATAAGAGAATTTGGTCGGAGAACACAGACTGCACTTTGGAACAGTATACGTACAAATTGCGGTGTGCATTTGCGGCATGTACACGGATACCCATGCTCCTTCTCAAAATCAGCGCGACGCTCCGCTATTGTCAGATTCCATGGTTCATGGACGGTTGTGTATCGCAGCTACACAACAGAACAGATCAACAATAAAGTAAGTGGACTCCAAAAAATACATCAGCTTATTATATTACTACTTCGCCTTTCTCATCATTTCAATCAATTCCGTTGTATAAATCACAGCATACAGTGGACGCCAAAATTGTCTTACACTTATGTAATCACACAACGCGCGCAACCAAGCACTTTTCTGTACTCAAACAGCCAAATTTTTGACTGGCCATTGACCTGCTGACATTTACACTTGCACCTTGCGCATTTCCCAACGAAAACCATTGACCGATATATCAAACGAATGAGGAAAAAATTTCAAGAATTTAGATACCAAACAAGGTGTTCTTTATGAGACCTAAAAGATAATCGAGGCATCTAAAGTTTCTCGTAGACATAGCATAGGATTTGCATCCGCGGTTTGGTTTCAGTTTTGAGTCGTTTTCACACAGAAAATGTGCTGTCTACGACAAACTAAAATGGCTCGATTTTCTCTTAGATCCCATAAAGGATGACCCGTTTGGTATCGAAATTCTTGAAATTTTTTTGTCTTTCGTTTGAAATATCGCTTGCTGGTTTTCGTTGGGAGATACGCCAGGAACAATTGTTCGTATTCTTGCGCGTTTTCAGTTTACTGGTCATGTGGTCCTGGCCATTTATTTTTATTGGTCATTCGGTCCCGGACCGAATGTAAGAGAATTTTGACTTCCATTGTATTATTAATCACCGACAAGTCAACTTTCCCCGTGCTGGTCTTACTGCAGAGCTGATTTCACCATTGATAAATTGCTCAATCGCTACTAAACTAATAAACTCTAATTACTATCAGGCTATCAGCGTCGCGTGCAAGTTGCATTTTCGAATTTCTTACAGGCCGATCTTGCTAAACTGATCATAAACACTGGCGAGGACATTTAATTCAAGTTAACGATGTCCCTGTACAAAACTTTCCGGACTTACATCCTGGAGCCCTGTATAGTTTGGAATGTTCTCCACAGCATGGACAACCAGCTGTCGTCCGCGACAGTTCAGCACCACATTGATGTCCCAGCACACCGGTGTCATTTGGCGACGCGATACCTGAGGGTACACCGCTAAGCCGACGCATTCGCCGTTGGCGAGCACATCACACACCGGCACAAAGTTATGCTGCAGGATGGCATAGTAGGTCAGAAAGTCAGAGACAGGCAGGCCGAGTATGGTGAGCTGTGTACTAGCCAACATCCTGTAAACAAATAAACCAACTGGCAACTGTTATCTTAAACTGTAAACAACACACGTTGTTTCAAACGTTGACATGGATGCTGATAATTTAACCTACACAGGCAGCCTCATCCGTTCGGCTGCTGAGTTCGAGGGATCTGTGGGCAGCATGAATAAAAGATCTTTGGCCGATTTCCGCCCAAATCCCGTGATGTCCATCATGGTGTTTCTCTAGACAGATAAAAAACGGGAATATCATACCATGGACTGAAAAATTGCCTTCACGTTGGACCGGACCAGTTGTGCAAACCGCGGAGTACCCAGGGTGCTCGATCTCGGAAGTCTCTACTGCTGACTTCATATTACAATAATAAATGCAGTCTAAGCGTTCTTTGCGCTTTGTTTTCTTGCAAAGTCTCCGAAAAACTACCCAGTCTGCAGATTCCACCTTGTGCTACTTACTACAGTTTAATGCTTTACAACTTTAGTTTTGCTGGACGAACCAAGAAATGGAGAATTTGATGAGTGTGGATTACCTTGAAAGCTGGACCTACCCTGACTTTATTATCCAACTTGGCGATCATATCAATGATCATAGGCAGGGAGCTTGATTCTGCTGCGGCCGCAGGCAGGATGCTCGCCAACTCCTGATACGTTCTGCTGGCATTGTTGCTGCTGTTCTTCAACACCGAACATTCCAGTTTATGCTCCACTTTCCAGTCAGCCGCCTACCAAATGCAAATCACAATATTATTACTGTTAAGATAGCAGATTTAAGAATGTCTATCACTTGGGGGCGATGTATCGCCCGCGTACTCCAACTTTCGGGTTTATAATACCCATGTAGCCATGGTTGCAGATCTTCCAACTAGTCAGTAGTCACCGTACCTGGCAGACGGCATTACAGTAGCGATGCAGTTGACATCCTGAGCATTTTCGTAGTTCTGGACTGTCGTCTAAGCAATAGGCACAGCGCGTTATGTAGGCGCTCCTCTCCAGGGCCCACACCAAAGGATCACAAGCTATGATAATATCGCCGGGAACAAAGCTTCGCGTGCCAGCGCTTGGCACGGTCTTCTGGGTCTCCATTGCGGGAACGGTATTACTTGAAGGTAAATTTCCTAGACATGTAAAGGGTTCACCAATTCGGTTGTGGTTTATCACTCACTCTCCTCGTATCTGAACGTGAAAAAAATCGTCTACTTCGTACTGTTCAGTCTGACGTACTACACTGCTCCGTGCGCGCGCGGGTCGCAACCGCTTGCACAAATGACAAGTGAGCCTTCGGCAAGCCTCTACTACTGCGAGGTGTTCACTGTTCAGTTACTAGTATAACTTACCACAGAAATGCACATTAGCATTTTGCATTGAAATGCACATTTGCATTTTGCATTCAGTTCACCGACTACCAAATTAATGTGATTCAACCAGCGAAATATCTCGTCGAATGATGGCGGCCCACAAAACGGACTAAGTATAATTGTATAAAAAAGTTGTGCAAGCTGCAGACTTGTGTTTAGCGGCGAAATGCTAATGAGATTCTTTTACTGAGTTTCTTTTAGAATCGTTTAGTTACAACTAAATCTACAGTAGATGAAGCTACCGTAGTACTATCAGGTTGTCGAATCTTGTGGGTGTCAATGCCGGTAGACTAAGAAAATGCGGTAAATTCGGCATACCTAAGCATTTTGTCGATGAGAATAAGGAGTAATTATTTTACGTCCTGCTCTTTTGCGCGACTGTAACAGTTTCGTGATGCTAGTACTCTGTACATAAAGTACATCACAGAAACGCCAAGCCCGTACACTTGGATAGGGACTAAATTGCATCTAAGATAGTTAACTGTATTTCTTTAATATTTCATCGATATTCGATCAGTACGAGAACGAGTGTGATACTCATACGGGATAGACGAAACAGACGAGTAAGATACTCATACAAAAAAAGCATGGAAGAATAAGGGATAATCATGCGCGGCTCGTGCAGTACCGGCAAGTTGGCAACCAGTCATGTTTGAATGGAAATTTCACATTCTCCATTTTCAAGAGCTTCCTTCAGATTAATAATAAAATATTCGGAACACGCAAAATGGCTGATCAACTCATAAATCCAAAATAAATGTTTCAGTACTAAATTGATCAGAACAGCAGCCGGTATTCAACGCCAAACGATTAAATAAATATTTTGCGAATTCGGCGCTCGCAACCGCCAACCCATGGCGGCTGAGCGTGCCGCACAACACTTGGGTGGTTATCCCTTCTTCTCGGCTGTTTTCTTGTCTTTCCTTATAATTATGTACCTAATCGTTGTTCGACTACGTACTGCCGCATGAGCCACACACCGCATAATAAAGCAGCACGTGTCTTGGTAAGTATAGTACTTGTGCCAGTTTGTCAGCGCATGCTGCGTGAGCACTGCATCCGATTATCGATTTAGTGCATCGATTGATGAGCACAAGGCCACAAGCTAACGTTCAGACCTCAGTTGGAGTAAAGTATACGTCCTTATCGGCATCTTCCCATACAGCATTCGCACGAGCTTTTTTTTATACGGTGCTTGTAGTTTTTTGAGGGGATGCTGACATATATAAACCTGTACCTTATAGTCTTCCGATCAAAAATAGTAGTCTACACAAATATACGCAGATAGAATCTTCATTTTTTTCAAAAACATGTGAACGCTTCCGTTGTTGCTTATCTCTCCCGGTTCTAATCCCATGGCGCTAATCCATCAGCAAGACAGAGCGATGATCATGTAAAATTGCGTCTTGCAAAGATTCCTGTTCTGAATCCCGCCATGAACTCCTACTTTACCTGCGGCGCCCGGCGTGGACAGTTCAACCTTGGCAACACCGTTTTGGTGAATTTAACCAGCCTGGACGAATTCCTACTGGGATATCTCCAGGACATCAATGGCGACCAGGTCTTCATTGATTTCGACTGCGAGCGCATCGCCCCGCGCTGGGTTCCTCTGCAGCACGTCTGGCATTATGAGAAACCCAGAATAACATTCGATCTTCCCTGTAATGTTTACGCAGCCGTCCGTCGGGAAGTGGGAGGACCGTACGTCGTCCAAACGGCCAAACTTCTGTGCAACTGGAGCTACGACAACCAGTTTCTCTGCTGCGTTGCCGAGCATGTGTCGTGCAGTACCGAGAAGTACCAAGCGCATATCGTGCACCACTGGCAGCTTATTGAACGGCTGCCCCGTAATCGCCACATTGACGGAATTTGCCGGATTCCCATTAAAAAGGTGGTGTATCGTTCCGCCAAGCTGCGTTTATTAAATGATGTGCAAGAGTTTCATATTGAGCGCCTACTGGATGTGGGATTTCGCCAGGGGCATCGCCAGATAGTAATGGATCGCGATAGTGCATTCGCTAGGATCCGGGAAGAGGAAATTGTTTTTGTGATTATGCGCATCCAATGCTGCTATCCACGCGTCATGTGTCCGTTGAGTCGCAAATGCGGGCACAACACCTGCTGGTTGACAGACACCGAGAAGAAAGTTGCCGCCGGAATCGAAAACTATCTTTTCCAGACCACTGGTCTGACTGAACATTTGGGTAACGTCGGCTACCGGCCGCAACCAGACATTGCCGTCTTGTCTTCGCTTGCTCTCAAAGGTAAACTTTAGCGCGTTGGTATTTCCGTTAGATAATTCCGTTGGCGAGTGCTCCAAGATATCGTGTTCGAATAATTTCGTAATTTATAGGGCCAAACTAAATGATCTAAACTAACAGTAATTTAAACCCTTGTTATTTTTTTGATACTTTTGACCGACGTTTAATAAAATTGGAGGTGAGTAAACAATATAGCTGATCTATGCATAGAAGGTGGTTAATATAGCAGGCATTGTAGCACCAGGCTAACACTTTTGAAAGTATTATATTGTCGGGTATTTTAGAACAAAATAAATTCGGGCTTTCCAATCTACCGCCGGAAATCATGTCCACAGTCACGTACTACTTGGATACTGTTTCGCAAGGAAAATTAAAGCGGTATGTTTTTAGGACGACAGTTTGCGTTATGTTACAATACGAGTATGACACTTCTCGTGGTTATTACTGGGTGCTAAATAAGGGAAATGACTTGGTACATGGTGATAATCAGTATGCATGCGTGGGAAACTTACTACACCTGCTCGCATTCCCAAACATCGATTTATGACATTTTAAAACCAAAATCAATGATTTATGTGCGTGATAACAGATTTCAACAAGTTTAAACTTTCAAAGGTGTACTAAACTTTCGAAGGTGCAAGAAAGTCTTATTACGGGCCGATCTTGTGGAATTATGCATATAGAGAGCGCATAACCATACAGATCGCTCTTACACCGAAACATGGTCACTTTTTTTTAAAATTTGAAATTCACTTTAAAATTAAGAAAAAATTATGAACACCTGGCTCGGTTAACAAACGTATTCTTTGATAATGTGTGTTTACATACAAAACTGGAAGAAGATAGACTAATAATGAGACTGTTGGTACACATTCCGAAGTTAGAATTTTTAGATTTTCTTTAGCACATGACTCTCCAACGGATATTATGGACACAAACGGTTTCACATCAATGTGCCTTGAACACAAATTATTTGGCTGTAGAATGTCATAAAACAATGCAAGCAAAGTCTGTGGAATGCACGTAAGCGAAAGGGTGCTTGCACTAAAGTTTGGTGAAGTGTATCGGCCTATCGGGCCAGTTCCCTCAAGCGAGACATTACTGCTACTGGACCTTGTAGAAAACACTTTGTTTCTGTAGGGTATGTGAGCTATGGAACACTTTACTTTCCGACCCGACATCTTCGGATTACATTACCATTGATTTCTGCGCACTAAGTCCGCTGCTACAACGGCGCGCGGAGACGGAAGGCTACCGTCTTGGGCGGTTACTCCATCGGATCATTAGCACCCGTACAAAAACGCTGGCTTTGGTTAACATGAATTATCGGGCGGATACCGTTGATCCCGTTATTGCGCTCATTACCGATATACTCACTATGAAACGTAGAATTCCTCTAATAATTATCAAAAACTGCTGGGCAAATATTCTGAAACCAAAGTACGGACCCGGAGTATGCTACTATATGTACACTCCCGATATTTTCGAGTGGAGAAAGATTCATTTTCAACTACTGCTCCTGAAAAAAGTCTGTCACCGTTTGCAGATGTTCAACGTAGTGATTAATTGCGGTGCGTGGAAGGGTGTGTTATTCCCTCGTCAACCGGGAAATTATGGCCGACTGAAACAGCCGGATAGCCTAATCATTACTATACCAAAGTTGGAGTTTGATGAAAGCGCCAGTGATGCCGACAGCATTATGCAACTTAAACAAGCTTTGGAACGTCATTGTCCACCAGTTAATCCATCCGTTAGAAACCAAATCCGGAGGCTGCACGCCGGTTGGGTCCAACGGTACCGCTGTCCTAGTGATCAGTGGGACGGATTGCGACAGCTAATCGAACTGTATGTGCTGTATTACACCTTATGTATCGATCCCAGGATCATTACGTAGCGCTCTCAACTGTCAACGGCTATTTTCTTTTATAGCTTTGGCATAGGCGTAGCAGCGGACCATGCTACGCAATGGTGCTATGGCGGCTTGGATTGTGACGTGGCGCGGAACCATGCCTTATACTTTTGTGACTTGGATCTGACGGATTTTGAAGGGTTGCCCATGGGAACTATAATATTGAATATACTTGCCCGAGCTCACATTCCGTCTTTCCGATGCCAAAGCAAAACATTTCTTCTTCCTTTTTGAATTCAATGTCGATTTGATCAGCCAGACAAGTAATCGTTTATTCAATTTAGTATAATTTTTTACTGGATAATTTCGGCATGATACTGAGTATCTGCACAGTGCTGTATGCTAGTAACTCCTTTAGCTAGCCGAATTACATTTCACTACAAAACACTGAAGCCACCGCTTGATAAGAGGTAATGGCAAGCTGAATTGAATTGTCAGAACACGTATAAATCAGGATAGCCAGTTGCGTAATGCCTTTGTGCGCTGCATGTAACGTTAAAATCGTTGTCACAACGAAAAACGATAGTTGATATCCAAATCAATAGATTCTGCATACAGCGCGACCGTCTGTACAGATGCTTTTCCATACTAAGGGAAGGACGGGATATTTGCAACTTCAGATTAGGTTTGGTATTTCCTGCCTAGTTGGCATATCGAAGGTAGGTTGCCTGATGACGTGTCTGATTCTCTGAGTGCTCTTCCCAATCGAACAATACTGCACCAACCGTACTTCCACCGGCGACAAGTCTTGTCGCCGCTGCAACTAGTTTCGTATGGGGGAGCGGTAGTAGGGTTGCTGGAGGCATGGTGCCTGTTATCCGTTGGAAGTGTTCAGAATCTGATATTCTTCTGTAAAATGTGTGGAGGTGACTGCATCTATCTGGGCGTGTGCGATGGTCAGGGGTGTGGGCAACGCGCTTTTATCGACGATTTCTCCAAGACACAATTGCAGACACGGTTTAGGATTTTTTGAAAATTTCACGTACGTTAAAAAAGGTACATCCTGTTTAATCTGATGAAGAAAAAACCGAAAGGTAACCGGTTGGTGCAATTTTTAATTTTAGATGATTCACTCAAGCTACAGTACGGGTAGCTCCTAAAATTCATTTTAAACAATTTACAGCCGATCTGTAAATTCAATTCCACAGCCACTGTAACTTTAGCTAATCAAAGCACGAAAAAGCGGAAAACTTGCCAGACGTTGACGGACAGCGCTTAACAAATGAAACACCAACATTTATCATTAAAATGAAAACAAAACTGAACGGAATTTATTGTATTAACACACCGGGTTTTAAAATCAGAAACACGCAGGTACATTTCCAGATTGTCTACCCCTCCAGGCTCCAACCAATAGTTTTTGCATCGGACGGTCAGAGTTATACGAATAGTAGGAGTCGGATACGACTGCCTTCACTTTTACCGTCTCCGCGTAAGCCTGTGGTGGGCTGTGTACCGATTCGTGTTGAATATGGTTTTCTGCCAACTCAGGATGCAGCATCATCGCCTCTTCCTCTTTGCGACCCATCCTGGCACTAGCATCTGGTATGCAATTCATTGTTGAATTTAAAACTGGGAACACTGGCAACTTCCGGTCGGTATGTATTAGGGTCGGAATGGGCTGCGCCATCTCACTTGTGCACGACACTGCACACGGTCAGCCATTTTTTTTGGTGACTGGCTGTTCAACGACAACGCTCGTTTTATTGTTATTGCTCCTGTTTCACATAAAGAAAATATTAGAATATACTCAAGAAAAGGTTTCGCTACTACTGCTTGAATTATAGAATCAATCAGGTATCCTCCTTAATCCTTTGCTTTGTTATTCGATAGTTAACTGCCAAAGGTATGCTTGACTATTCATAACTAAGCAACGGCTGCATCACAGGAGTAAGTGCTCTGTTCTCTCTGCCTGTTTAGACAGCAGGTTACTGCATTCCGGCAATGCCCATGTGGTGCAATTTGCACCAGCTGTTTTTTTTTAAACTCATTACTTTTTTAAAAAAGAGCTGTAAAATGTACTGTAAGAGCACTGTGCTAGTGCACTGCAAAGATTTTGATACAGTAGTATTACATGTTGAATAACTTTGTTTGGCAACGCCCATTGAGCCTCTGCAGATGAAATTATTTTTTAAATATACTCCGATGGTATACTATGTTTCTGCCAAAGATGAGATTTTTCTGACCTTTGACCCGAAAATTGTGCCCGGCTTAGCACTGCCTATGGCAATTACTGTAACACATTACGATAGTGACGGTCGATAGTGGAGGCGATACCGTAACACACATGTAAAGGGATAACATTGTTCGCTATTTTAGAACGGGAAGAATCCCAACTTTCCAATCTACTGCCGGAAATTATGTCCACAGTCATGTACTATTTGGATACTGTTTCGCAAGGCAAACTAACGCGGTATGTCATTAGTACGACAGTGTGATGTTACGGCATTATGACACTGCTCATGGTTATAAGCGGGCAAATTACAGTAATTAAGGGAAATCGCTCGGTACATGGCGCCGAATTCGAGTACATCAGCACATGCGCTTGAACTTCCGCTTTCGCACACTCTAAAATGCTTTTTCGCATCGTTTTATAGCCTCTAAAATAAAATGTTCTGTATGCATTGCCGTGGAATAATAGTTTTGGCGCAACATCCGGCTGAAGGTAATGGTTGAAGTGGGATTCCGAAAAGCTTAAACTTTTGATAGTGTGCCGAAAGTGCTCATTATGGACAGACTTTCAAAGTTTGCCTAAACCACGGTTCCCGTATCTCTTTTTTTCAAATTTTAGAATCAATTCCAAAACTCCTGAAATTCATATTAAGCTTTTAAGAGAAATGGTAAAACATTGAGCTCGGTGTTCTACGTTCTACTTTGAGCTCGGTGTTCTACGTTCTTCAGGGTATTGTGCTTTTTCGTGTAAAATCTCAAAAAGGTTGGCTAATTATGTAACTTTTGATGCACTTTCCGAAGTCGAAAATTTTTGGTTTAAACGGTCGGTTTTGAACATCAATGTCTTTAATGTGTATGCAAATTATCTGACTATAGAAGGTCACAAAAACATTGCAAAAAAGTGTCTGGAAGGCCGCGGAAGCGAAGGTTCCCATGCATGGAGAAGAGCTTGGCACAATGTACCAGGCCACATCCCATAAGCAAGGCATTACTGGAGCCAGTAAACTATTCTGTTTCTGCAGAGTATGTGCGCTGTGGAACACTTTACTCGGCGAGCCGACATCGTCGAATTACGTTACCATTGATTTCTGCGCACTAAGTCCGCTGTTACAACAACGCGCGGAGACGGAAAGCTACCGTTTGGGACGGCTACTCCACCGGATCGTTAGCACCAATACAAAAACCTTGGCATTAGTTAACATGAATTATCGGACGGATTCCATTGATCCCGTTATTGTGCTCATTTACAATATACACACCATGACAAATAGAATTCCTCTAATTATTATCAAAAATTGTTGGGCAAAGATTTTGAAAACACCGTACGAACCTGGAGTACGCTACCGATCAGCCGTTCCGCATCTTTTCGAGTGGGGAAATATTCACTTTCAACTATTGCTCCTGAAAAGTGTCTGTCTCCGTGTGCAGATGTTTAATGTAGGGGTTAACTGCGGCGCATGGAAAGGTGAGTTCTTACCCGATCAACTCGCAAAAAATGGCAAAGTAAAGCCGCCGGATAGCCTTATCATCACTATACCGGAGTTGCAGTTCGACGTGAGCGCCAGTGACGGTGACTGCATTGCGCAGCTTAAGCAAGCTCTGGAACGCCACTGCCCACCGATCGATCCATCCGTTCGGGACCAAATCCGGAAGCTGCATGCCGGGTGGGTCCAACAGTACCCCTATCCTAGTGATGAGTGGAATGGACTGCGGCATCTAGTCGAACTGTACGTGTTGTATTATTCGTAACGTACTGTATCGTCGACTCAAGTTGGCACTATTTTTTACAGTGCGTTAAATTTATGCTATACTTCGAATGCTGCCTTATATGGGCTCCCCTTATATTACTCTCCCTTATCTGGGCTCCCGGCTAGTTAGCAATACCCGTCAAATTAAATTTATCGGATTTATAGCAGAACCCTTTTCTACTTCTTTCAACCGGATTTACAAGTGAGCACGCCAAAGAATTCCGAAATTTCACATCCGAATTATATTTATATATATTATCTATACAATAATATTTTTCATTAATTTTAACCGGATTTGCCAATGAACAAACTGAAAAATGCCAAAATTTCATATCACATTATTTTTTCATGGGGTTCTTAATGCATTTAACCGGGCAACGTTTAGAAAGAATTTGAATTTAGAAAGATTTGAATTTTAGAAAAGATTTGAATCTGTCGTTGATGCAACCTGAGCACTTTGAAACAAACTAAATGCTACAAAAGTACTGGCAAAATAAGTATTTTAAATACATCAAAATTTTCAGTCAAGCATAACACTGATAACAGCTGCGAAAGTGTGAGTAATAACGTAACCGCCCGTGTAGAGGGTTGCTCATATTGCTGGGGAGCCCAGATAAGGGAGAGTAATATAAGGGGAGCCCATATAAGGCAGCATTTTAAGTACACGTAACGTGCATTTGGCTTGCTAGTGGTTGGGTGTACACCAGATGATTTTGTCCGAATAATAGTAATTGCCTGCCGGAAGGTCGACGCAGTAAGGGACATCCTGGGCTAAAAAACGGTCGGCGCAGTAAGGGACATCCTGGGACAATCTAATTGCGGAGCGCATCTACGCACTGCGATAAACATGGTCGAATGGCCACTGAACTTCGCACTACCTGACCTTTCTGTAAGAAATTGAGGGACAAGCCCCGCAATTTCTTACAGAAATATCGAGCATATGCGGTAGATAAGCAATTTAGGATAATTGATCGTTTTCGTTGCTTAATGCTTCAGATACAATCAAGCTATCCGTACATGCTCAGCGCACCACAATAAAATCGGTTTTTTTAGCGAAGGCTGAATACACCGAGGTTTTGTTATGACACAAGTGGACACTTGAATTTTTTAGTCGCTGCTTGAGTTTCTTTTTGGAGGTCGAGTAACAGAATGGCTCACATCGGCTCACATCGTATCAATGGCTCACATCGTAGCAATGGCTCACATTGTTCCTAAGTACGTATGTACGTTTAGACGGTGCTCAATGGGACATCATTTTCTTCTATACAGGTTTGGCACAGGCATAGCAGCGGATTATGCTGTGCAGTTGCATTATGGCGCGCACTTGGATTGGAGGGCGGCGTATGGTCTTCATACATACTTTAAAGACTTGGATTTGAGGGATTTCAAAGAACTGTCCATGGGAACTATCATGTTGCATATACTTGCCCGCGCTCACATTCCATCTTTTCGATGCAAAAGCAAAAA